CAGGGTACCCCAGCAGTCCTCGGGCCCCTGTGCTGCCAGCCCAGGGACACAAAGGACTAGGCTGGTTCCAGGCCGCTAGGTTCATAAGCCAACCCAAGCGAAGCCCCTGCTCCAGCACTGGCAGAGAGGGGTCACCCGGACGCCTGCAGCCCTGAGGGCCCCTGGTCAACCGCGCTCCCTCCAACCTGGGCGACGGCATCAGATACCTGCCGGCCTTCCTGCCCCTCCCGGGGGCTGCACGTCTGCGGCCCCCTCCTCTGTTCTGAGTGACAGGGGTCCAGAGGACTCTAGGCAGCTTGCTCTTGCCAGGACCCCCGGACAGTCTGACCCCAGGAGGGAAAAGTGACCCAAGACTGCGGCTTCGCCATCCCCTCAAAGAGGTCTGATTCATAAAACGGGTCCTGCCGGAGGGCCCAGCCGTGGGAGGAGGAAGCGAGGGAGGGGGTGTTTATTTTGTCTGCTCGCAGCCTTGCGGGCCGGTAAGCCGCGGACACGCACACCCTGGCCGGCCGTGGGGCGCCCCGGGACGGCCAGGGCAAGCGCACAGGGGCGGCGCGCGCGCCCGGGTCCGCGCAGGTGGCTGCAGGACTGGGGCCGGGGTCCCGCCCTAGGTGCGTGTGCGTGTACGTGTGCGCGCGGGGGGTCCGCGCGTGACTGTCGCGTTCCCGGCGTCCCCGCCCGCAGCCGCCCGGCCCCGCAGACACTCACCACGCAGCAGCGGCGGCGGGAGCCGGGCGGGGTGGCCGCGGCCTCAGTTCTTCCGGGCCAGCCGGGCCCGAGGGGTCCGGGGTCCCGAGGTAGCCGCGCTCGCGTCTCCCCGCCCCGGGCTCGGGCTCCGGAGTCATCCCGCCGGGGGCGGGTCGCGCCTTAAGAGCCGGGAGGCGGGGCCCGCCGCGAGCGGGGGCGGGGCCTCCACGCATTGGCCGGGGAGTGGGCAGGGCTTTGCCTAGGCCCCGCCCCCTCCCCGCGGACGGGGGTCATTGGGCCGGGCTGGCCTGGTCCTCACCCCGCCATCTCCTGAGCCCGGTGAGAAGAATCTGGCCTGGCCTGGTGGTCCTGGTCGCGAGTCTGGAGTCCCGGGCTCCAGTCTGTCTGCCGCTGGTTAGCTGAGTGACAGCGGGAGGGTTTCTGCGTTGGTGTGAGGAGCAGGTAGATGTTGAGCGCAATGAAGAGTCACGGCCCAGGGAGGTGCAGGCAGGTGATCACGGCGGGGCTCAGGCACCTGAATTTTTAGGGGAAACCTCTCTGCGTGTTACTGTTGGTAGCTGACCCCGATTTCAGGAACTCCTGGGCCGGCCTCTAAGCCCACCTAGGCCCACGCCTGGGTTTGGGGTCCTCGTAGCCAGGAGGCGGGAGACTGCAACGCAGTAAGGGAGGTGACTGCACAGGACCTGCAGTTCCTGGCAGCTTCAAGTTCAGATTGTGCCCAGGGGGTGGGGCCTGGGCTGCAGTTGACAGGAGCCCATCATCGGGCAGTAAGGGCATGTGCCAGGGGCTGGACTAGCCCATAAAAATCCCCTGCCTTAGACGATTCCAGGAAAATGCTCTGCTGCCCCTCCCCCCAGCACGCACGCACACACACACATACACACACACGCACACCCCTGTCTGCTCATATTTGTGGTCAGTCAAGCCTCAGAGCCTTTGGGGACCCAGCTTGGCTCCCGACTTCCGGAGAGCTCTAGATACTTGTACCCCCCCCCCCAGCCGGCCAGCAGCCAGGGCTTTGGCTGGGCCTGCTCCCATCTTTGGGTGCCCAGGAGGCTAGGCCGCAGCGGGGGGTGGGTGGGGGGGAGGCGCTGCATGGTCCCTGGAGAACTCTACTGCTTCTAGAATTCAGGATGGCCTCTCTCCAGCTGTCCTGAAGGCGCTAAGGGGGGTCTGGCTGGGATGGTCACCTTCTAGGTGACCCCTCCCCAGGACAGGGGGCTCCACCCCTCCTGGATTGGAGGCTGTGCCTTGCCAGTGAGTTTCCTTCGGTCTGTGTGAGGGTTTCTAAACCTTTGAAGCCATTGCCAACCTTGAAACGTTAGGTGGTTTCACATTGCGTTGAACCAGAAGTCTTGGCTAAGGCTGGGTGGGAACTGCCCTCTCTGGGTCAGGGTCCGGCTTCCAGGTCAGCCCAGGCCCCACCACTCCCTGTTGTCTTTCTCACTCACACGAGGTTCTAGACTGGTCCCGAGCAATGTGAGTTTGGTCAGTGCCGCGTGGCTGCTGGTGAGGTGAACCCGTGCCACATGTCCTCTGAAGCCATCGAAGCACCAGTTGCCTCACTTTCCCCGGGACACAGGACATCCCTGCCGGCCCGGGAGCCTTGCACCTTTGTGGCCAGTTCTCGCTGATGGAGACACCCCGTTGGCGAGAGTCTCCACCTCCGGTCCTGCACCCTGGGTTCACACCACCCCACCCACACAGGAGCTCAAGGGGCGCTTCCAGGGGACCCCTCTCCGGTTGTCCAGCCTTGCCTGGTGCGGTTTCAAGGAGTCACCTCCTGCTCTTGTAAGCTGGTTCCCAGGAACTTCTGTGGGGGGTGCAGCAGCCTGGATGACGGACAGATCCGAGGGGCCCAGGCTGCTCCGGACCGGGGGCAATGCCGGGGGTCTGGGCAGGAGGGAAGAGCCAGTGAGGGAGCCTTGAAGCTGCTTTCCCAGCAGGTGTGCTGCAGGCCCTCCACAGCTCACCAGCGGCAGGAGTGTTATCGGGGGGTTGGCACCCCCACCCCTCACAGGGCTGCCCCCCCCATGCACGCCATGGCAGCACCAGCGCTCACCGCCGCTGGCTCCGTGCCAGGTTGGGACTCACGTGCTGCATTCTAGACCCAGATCCGGCTTGGCTGTCTTTACAAGGCCTGGGGTCAGGCCCGTGCCAGCCTCTGGCCAGCCCTTGACGCTGGGTGCCGTGACCCCGTGTCCTGACCCGTGCCATGTTGTGGAGGGCAGGGTGCTCCCACCTGGCAGAGCTGCCCAGATGGCTCTCAGGGAGGCGGTCAGGAAGACTGGCCTGACCTGTCCGAGGAGGTGGCCCTGCCCTCTATGACTTCCTGCCCTGCGCCCCCGGCTCCTGAGTCAGTGACCGGCTAGGGCTGATGGGTCAGGGTGAGAGGAGGCTGGACGGGTGAGCTGTCCACGCTGGGATGGACCCAGCTAGGTGCCAAGGCAACAGAGAGACCACAGGAGCCCCTACCCAGCCCACTGACTTATTCCTAGCCTCTGCCCTGAGCCCTATGGGATGGCCTGCTCTCACTCTGCTAACCTGGCCCCACACAGCGGTCCTCACGTGCCCTGCTCAGTGCCCATCTGTTCCCATCCCCCATGCTTGAGGTCACCACCAGCTTTCCCTTGCTCGTCCACCTGAGACCCAGCTCTCCTGGTGCACCAGGTCCCAGTCCTTCAGGCCTCTCCTGGTGCAGCCCTAACCTCTGCCCCTCAGCCTGGCTGCCCAGAGCACCAGGCTCATCGTCCCTGCTGCTCCTGGGTGGGCTTTGCACTTCCCTGCCTCGGCACCGTGGCATAGGCTGCTCTCCACTGGACTCCGTCCCTGTGATGTGTTTGCTTTCTCCATTGCCTTAGGATCATAGGGAGTACAACCCACACCATGGCCAAGCCAAGGCCAAGTCCCGCAGCCCTCCCTCACTGCATGCTTTCAGAGACCCTCTTCTTCAGTGTTCAGTATCTGTGGGATTATATCCACTTCTTGCACAGACTGTTAGCTCCTTGAGGACAGGTGGGGTCTTTTGTACTCACCTCTGGTAACTGCTGCAGCCCGAGCCAAGGGCTAGGTAGACGCTGGCTGGTGAAAGGAATGAGTGAGTAAGTGCTGGTGGGGGCCTGCTTCTCTCCCTGCCTTTTGGTGCCAGCATCAGTGTGTGGGGCACTTGAGGTCAGACTGTGCCTGTGTCCCTCATCCCCCCACCGCCCCCACTGCCACCACAGCCAGGTGGAGAATGCCAGTGCGGAGCCCAGCTCACCATGCTGGGCCCGAGGTAATTAGAGGCCTGTGTTACTCACAGGTGACCAGCCCAGAACACTCCAGGAAGTGGTGGAGACACCCAGAACCCCACCCAGCTTCCCAGTCCGTTCTGCGGCTCCTGGGGGGGCAGGGGGAGGAAGACTGGTGGGTGGCAGGGGGAGCTGGGTGCCTTGTCTCCTGGGTGAAGAATAGATCCGCTGCCGCAGCCGGGCAACCTCTGACCACTGGGCCCCTAGTGTTTGAGAATGAGTGTTGGTGTCAGGGTGGGAGCCCAGGCTCAAGGGTCCCTAGGAACAAGAAACCAAGAGCAGAAGGGGGCCCCTGTCAGAGCTCTGAGCCCTGCCATTGTCCCCCTCACAGGGCTGGGGGCTAGCAGGTGGCCTCTGCAGGGCCCGGGGTGGGGGGCTGGCCCTCCCAGCCTGCCCTCTGCCTTCCCAGCCATCACCCCTTCTGCCCTAGTTACAGAAGGGATGGGAGGAACCTGCCAGCTGAGCCTACAAGGCCAGCAGCGGGAGGAGCCCCCGTCCCTGGGCACCTTGCTCAGGCTTGGGCACAAGTCTGTGTGGAGGGGGAGGGGGGCCTCTGAGAGCACGGGGACAGTCGGTGGCCATACACATTAGTGCAGAGCCGGAGTGGCCGCCCCCTGCTGTGCAAGGCAGCCCTGGCTGAGGATGCAGAGAACCCACAGTGCTCCCACCAGCCCCTGCTCCTCCCAGGCACCACTGGGCTGAGGTCCCGGAGATGCGTGGGGCAGGAGTTGGGCCTGCACCCAGGCACTGCACAAGTCCTGCAGTGAGCAGGGGGCAGCTTGGGGGTCTGGGGAAGGCCCACTGGGTGTGGGCTTGTGCTCCTGGGTGGCCAGCAGAGGGACAGGAGGCAGGGCACCTGCAGGACCAGGCTGGACACAGCGGAAGGGCCTGAGTGGCTCCTGTCACCGTGGCAGCTTCCACAGCCCCAGCCCAGGATCCCAAAGTCCACAGGCTTCCGTTTGCCCCTTATCTGCCATCCCTTCCATGGCCCTCTGTCTCCAGGTCTCTGATGCCTCTGCTGGACCCAGATTCGGGCCTGCTGGTCCTGGCAGGAAAGGTGAGCAAGAGCCCCCTCCTCACATCTGCCGCCCAGAGCCCGGTGCAGGGCTGTGCCGCCCTTGCCATCCCCTGAGAGGGGCTGGAGCAGAGCAGCCGAGCGTGCAGGCTGCTGCCCCAGTCCACTGGGAGGCACGGCTTCCCGCAGGGCCTCGGGGCCTTCACCCAGATGGCCCAGCTGCCTGTAGCTCCCCTGGAACGCCAGCCTGAGCGGAGGGAGAACTGCATTGCGTAGACCCCTGGCGCTCGCTGTGTCTGATGAGCGGCAATGAGTGAAGGGTGCCAGGGCTCAGCTCAGTGCCCAGCAGGTGTGAGCACTGTGGCTGCCTTGCTCCTGTCCCGGGGTCCTGGGGCGGAGCAGGGGCCACTGGTGCTGGACTGGAGCCCCGGGCGCGGTCAGTGAGCAGCGCTGTGGCTGGCCTCATTGCAGGGCGAGAGTCAGCTGTACTGCTACGAGACAGCCCCTCGGCAGCCGGCCCTGAGCCCAGGTGAGCCCTGCCCTCCTGGCCCCTTGCTCTCCTCCACCCCCGCCCCCGCCCCCGGCTGCCACTGACTGCCCTCCATGGGGTCCTGACAGTGAACCAGTGCATCCTGGAGAATGTTCTGCAGGGGGCCGCCCTCGTGCCCCGGCGGGCGCTGGCCGTCATGAGCTGTGAGGTGCTGCGTGTCCTGCAGCTGAGCGACACTGCCATTGTCCCCGTCGGCTACCATGTGCCCCGCAAGGTGAGGGGGCCCGGCTGGGAGGCTGGGGTGCCTGGGGGACCTGGGCCTCACCGGCTGCCTGCTTGTCTGCCGCCAGACCGTGGAGTTTCATGAGGACCTGTTCCCGGACACTGCTGGCTGTGTGCCCGCCTCCGACTCCCATGCCTGGTGGACTGGGAGCAACCAGCAGGTAGGGCCGAGGCCTGGCTCCCTGCTCCCTCAGCCCAGCTGTGTCCAAGTCACCTGGGCCTGTCTGTGTGCCCCGTGTTTACCCAGTCGACCCCTCCAGGGGACCCCTTCTGACCCGGAGGCCCAGGCCTCCCGCCACCTCAACCGGCAACCTCCCCACAGGTACAGAAAGTCAGCCTCGACCCAGCCCGCCGGCCCCACCCCAGCTTCACTTCCTGCCTGGTGCCCGCTTTGGAGCCCCACCTTGGCACGGCCCAGCCTGCAGAGACCCCCGTGGACGATGCTGACCCCAGCGTAAGTAGCAGGCTGATGCCCGGAGTCCTGTGGGCCGGCAGGTTGTTCCAGTTGTCAGGTGTTAACAGAAGCCAGGGACTGTGGGAGCCATACGTTTAGAGCTTAGCCGTGTTTTCTAAATGGAGCAAACACTTAAAAAGCGAGAGTTTTCACATGGAAACTCCCTTCCTGGCTCCTCTTAGAATGCTGGCAGATCTTACTCCCTGGGCACCTCCTCCCCAGGGCTGAGAGTGGCGGCTGCCATCTGCTGTCGCTGCAGCCGGAGCTCTGCCTGCTTCCCTCCTCTGCGTTGTCCCAAGTCCCCGGCCCCCCCGCCCCATCCACACGCACAGCAGAGGCGCGTGGCCAGCCTGGAGGCCGCCCTCTTTCTGGCCGGTGCCCCGGGGGACCCGTTTTCTGACCAGCACGCTTCTCCCCAGGAGGGCTTCTCGTCCCCTCCCAGCTCACTGACCTCGCCCTCCACGCTCTCCAGCACCACCAGCGGCATTGGGACCAGCCTGAGCCAGAGGTCGCTGCAGAGCCTGCTGGGTAAGAGTCACCCCTTGCCCTGGGAGCCTGCAGCTGTCCTGCTCTGTACCCCGGGCCCCACCTTTCCCCAGCACTGAGGGACACCCCTCACTTACCCAGACGTGGGGCTGCTGGCTGGATTGGGACTGTTGAGTCTCGTGTGGCCTGGACCCCACATGAGATCTCACTGTTTGCGGGGACCCCACATGGGATCCTGGAGCCCCGGGGGAAGAGTTAGTCCTGAGCTCGCTGTGTTGGGGGGAGCAGACAGCTAGGACTTGGAGCGCAGGGTGGCAGGCCCAGCACCCCCACGCGTGGCTCTGTGTCCCTGCTGCCCGCCAGGCCCCAGTTCCAAGTTCCGCCATGCCCAGGGCACCGTGCTGCACCGAGACAGCCACATCACCAACCTCAAGGGGCTCAACCTCACCACGCCCGGTGAGAGCGATGGCTTCTGTGCCAACCAGCTGCGTGTGGCCGTGCCCCTGCTCAGCAGCGGGGGCCAGGTGGCCGTGCTGGAGGTAAGTGGCCCCATCCCCGCAGGGCCTCCCTTCGGGTCCCTGTAGGCATCACGGGACCCCCAGCAAATCCGGCCCAGGCACCTGCCCAGCGTGCCCCGTGATCAGCCCAGCCGCCCCACATACCACTCCTCTGCCCGTTTTCCAGGTATGGGCAGTGAGTCATGGAGCGGTTGAGTGACCTGCTGGGGTCACACAGCTGTATAAGTGGCCTTGGAGCCCAGGCCTCCTGAGCGTTCCCCACCACTCCACGCTGTCCACCCCTTCACTTTCGGGGGCTCCCCGATTGGCACCTGGGGTTCAGAACACAAGAGCTCGGGCCTCCTAGTGTAGGTACATCCGCTGTGGAGGGTGGGGGCCCAGGCACACTGCTGCCCTGCGGCCCCGGGGGACAGGCCCTCCTGCTTGGTACTGACGGCTACCGGGCGGGGGTGCTTCCCACAGCTGCGGAAGCCTGGCCGGCTGCCCGACACAGCGCTACCCACGCTGCAGAACGGGGCGGCTGTAACCGATCTGGCCTGGGACCCGTTTGACCCTCACCGCCTGGCCGTGGGTAAGAAGGCTGGGTGCCTGGGCTTGAGGGTGGGTCCCAGGTCCTGAACAGGGGCCAGGGGCCCAGGGGCCTTGGGTCAGCAGTGATGAGTGGCCGCTCTCCACAGCTGCCGAGGACGCCAGGATCCGACTGTGGCGGGTGCCCCCGGAGGGCCTGGAAGAGGTGCTTACCACACCCGAGGCTGTGCTCACAGGTTAGATAGACCGCGCATGCGGGCGGGTACAGTGGTTCCTAAGGGGCTTGCTTTCAGCCCCTGCCTCTCCCCCAGGGCACACGGAGAAGATCTACTCCCTTCGCTTCCACCCGCGGGCAGCTGACGTGCTGGCCTCCTCCTCTTACGACCTCACTGTTCGCATCTGGGACCTTCAGGCCGGAGCTGAGCGGCTGCGGCTGCGGGGCCACCAGGACCAGGTAGGACAGCCCTGAGGGCAGATGCCCAGCCACGAGGCCGAAGGCCGCCCTTCACGTCCCACCTCGTCCCCAGATCTTTGGCATGGCCTGGAGTCCTGATGGACAGCAGCTGGCCACCGTCTGCAAGGATGGGCGTGTGCGCGTCTACGAGCCCCGGAATGGGCCTGAGCCCCTGCAGGTAGGCAGGTGTGGCCCGAGGGGTGGCCAGAGGCCTAGCTCCGGGACCCCAGCTGGGCCTCACGTGCTGTGTCTCGGCAGGAAGGCCCAGGGCCTGAGGGGGGCCGTGGAGCCCGCGTTGTCTGGGTGTGTGATGGGCGCTGTCTGCTGGTGTCTGGCTTTGACAGGTAAGGACCCCCAAACCAGCAATGCAGGCTTCGGCACATTCCCAGAGGGAAACTCCAGCAAACCTACAGAACCTGGCCCTGTCCCTCACTTACTGGACGGGTGGGTGGGTGGGTGGGTGGGTGGATGAGCAGATGGATGGGGGAAGATGTGTAGGTGGTGGGCCGATGCCCACGGGCAGGTGGGTAGATAGGTGGGCTGGGGATGGAGAGGGAGAAGGAACGGGGGGCCCAGAGCGGGGAGAGTGGGTCCTGCTGTCTTGCCTGATGGGGAGCCACAGAGGCACAGGAAACAGAGCCTGGCTAGAGACAAGCACCTGGTGCATTGTGGGGGCGATCAGGGAGGACCTCCCAAGGGAGGTGTCACCCAAGTCAGGTCACACAGGGAGGCCTGAAAGTGGAGGTTCACGTCTGGGTGGAAAGGCCTGAAGCTGACCAGCCCAGGCGGAGCTGAGGGCGAGAAGCAGAGTGCAAGGAGCCCACAGGGGCGCTGGGACAGGTGTGGAGGCGGGCCTGCACTGAGCAGGGCCGAGGCAGCGGCGGCAGGTTAGAACCAGGCCACCTCCGGGTCCTGACTCGGCCTCTCCCGAGCCTGAGCAAGATTAGGGTTCCTGGGAGCCTTTGCCCTGGCGCAGGCCTCCCTAGCCCTAAGGACCTGCTTCTGCCCCCGCCCCACCCCACCCCACCCCGCCCCCAATTCCACAGCCGCAGCGAGCGCCAGCTGCTCCTGTATGCAGCTGGGGCCCTGGCGGGCGGCCCCTCAGCAGTGCTGGGCCTCGACGTGGCTCCCTCAACGCTGCTGCCCAGCTATGACCCGGACACCGGCCTGGTGCTCCTCACGGGCAAGGTGGGCTGGGCGGGTGGGGGCAGTGGCAGGGGAGAGGAGGTGGGGGGAAGGCCTCTGGCCACTTCACTGTCGCCTCCCTAAACCCCAGGGTGACACCCGCGTGTTCCTGTATGAGCTGCTCCCTGAGGCCCCTTTCTTCTTGGAATGTAATAGCTTCACGTCGCCTGACCCCCACAAGGTGAGGCCACCCGGCTCCTGCGCCTCCCATCGCCAGCCAGGACCACAGGGCTTCCTCGCCCCCTTGTGGCTACGTGAAGAAGTGCAAGAGCCTGTGGGATGGGCTGCAGCAGCCAGTTGTGAAATTAATTCAGGAATTTTAAAATAGTTTTTGTCGTTGTTCTTATCCCATCTTTATTCTATTTTAAAAATATATATTTATTTATTTGAAATGCAAAGTTATAGAGGAAGAGAGAAATCTTCCATCCACTGATTCACTCCCAAAATGGCCATAATGGCCAGGACAGGGCCAGGCTGAAGCCAGGAGCCAGGAGCTTCTTCTCGGTCTCCCATGTGGGTGCAGGGGTCCGAGGACTTGGGCCGTCCTCTGCTGCCTTCCCATGTGCATTAGGGAGCTGGATTGGAAGTGGAGCAGCCAGGACTCAAACTGGTGCCCAAATGGGATGCTGGCATTGCAGGCAGCGGCTTAACTCACTATGCCACAGTGCCAGCCTGTAGTTCATTATCTCTTTATTTTTTAAAATGTTTATTTATTTGTTTACATCTCCTTGAAAATCAGAGCGACAGAGAGAAAGAGATGAGAGAGATCCATCTTTCATCTGCCGGCTTCCCAAATGCCCACGGCAGCCAAGGCTGGGCCAGGTCAAAGCCAGGAACCTGGCATTCCATCTGGGTGTCCCATGTGGGAGGCAGGGGCCCATGTACTTGACCCATCATCTAATGCCCCGAAGGATGCCTTAGCAGAAAACTGGATCCGGGCAGAAGAGCTGGGACCCAAACCAAGGCACTCCAATATGGGATGGCGGCTGCAGATGTCCCAAGTGGTGGCTCAGCCCAGGGCTCCAAAATGCCCACTCCTAGTTAGGGATTTGGAGAACTGGGTGTTGCACTCAGCCCTTATTAAAAATTAGACTATATATTAGGCTGGCGCCTCGGCTCAATAGGCTAATCCTCCACCTGCGGCGCTGGCACACCGGGTTCTAGTCCCGGTCGGGGCACCGGATTCTGTCCCGGTTGCCCCTCTTCCAGGCCAGCCCTCTGCCATAGCCCAGGAGTGCAGTGGAGGATGGCCCAAGTCCCTGGGCCCTGCACCCGCATGGGAGACCAGGAGAAGCACCTGGCTCCTGGCTTCGGATCGGCGCGATGCGCTGGCTGCAGCGCGCCGGCCGCGGTGGCCATTGGAGGGTGAACCAACGGCAAAGGAAGACCTTTCTCTCTGTCTCTCTCTCACTGTCCACTCTGCCTGTCAAAAAAAAAAAAAAAAAAGAAACTATATGATGTTACATTATGTGAACCTATAAAAACCCAGGTAATAATTGTAGCTCCACCCCCACCCCACAGGTTCTGCATCCACAGATCAAAAGTGTTTTTTAACTGCTTCTGTACAGAACACGTGCAGACCTTCTTCTAATTACTTCCTGGGCAGTACAGGGTGACAGCTGTTCACACAGTGTACAGTGTACTGGGTGCTGTCCGTGACCTGCGGAGGACTGAGTATTCAGTAATGTGAGTCCTCCAGAGGACTGAGTGTTAAGTGCTGTGGGTAGAGGACTGAGGGTCAGTACTGTGGGTCATCTAGAAAAGACTGAGGGTTAAGTACTAAGAGCACTCTGAAGAGGTGAGTGACCTAGAGAGGACGGGAAGAGCACAGGAGGGGTGCGAGGTCCCGTGCAGACACTTGGCTGTTCTGTGTAAGGGCTTTGTGCACCTGCAGGCTTTAGCATCGTCAGTGGGTCCTGGAACCCACCCACGAGGGATGTCTATGCTCAGTTTACCGCTTCCTAATTATTATTTTTTGAAGTAATGAATTTATTTGAGAGACAGCCACGGAGAGAGAGCACCCTTCTGCTGGCCCATGCCCCAAAGGCATGCAGGGGCCAGGGCTGGGCCAGCCCAAAGCTAGGAACTGAGGGTTCCTCCCCGGTCCCCCATGTGGGAGGACTCAGCTCCCCGAGTCCAGGAAGCTGGAGTCAGAAGCAGAGTTGAGACTGGAACCCAGGCGCTCGGATCTGGGACGCGGCGTCCTAATCGGCGGCTTAACCTGGAGACCAGCCACCTGCTCCAATTTTGTTATAATTTGAGAAACAAAGCTTCCATCCACTGGTTCGCTCCCAGAATGCCTACAACAGCTAGGGCTTAGCTGAAGCTGAAGTCAGGAGCTGGGAACCCAGGCCAGGTCTCCCACGTAGGTGGGAGAAACCCAGTTACTGGGAGCCTTTGCCTCCCAGGTCTGCACCGGCAAAAAGCTGGAGTCAGGCGCCGGAGGCGGGTGTCAAACCCAGGCACAGCGGGTAACCTCCCTGCTGGGCCGGACGCCCACCCCCACTTCTGAACGATTTCGCCCAGTTTTTTGTTGCTTGTGCTGTTGAGTTGTGTGCACTGGCTCTGTTCCACGGACTTGGATGCCACACGTGTCCTGGGAGCTGTGCTGCCGTAGGTCCCTTCTCGGCTCTGCACCGCCCACCCTTACCCCCACCCCCCAGCTGAGTGGGTGGCTCCAACCGCTGTGGTGGGAATTTGACTCTGGAAATCAAATGCTACCGATCAAGAGCCAGTGGTTCCACACTGCAGCTCAGCCCTGACCTGGGTCAGCATGGCCCTGGGGTCCCTTGTGGTCCCCAGCTCTGGGCTCCACCCCTACTTCCTCACTCCCCTCAGGGCTTCGTCCTCTTGCCCAAGACGGAGTGTGACGTGCGGGAAGTGGAGTTTGCTCGATGCCTGCGGCTGCGCCAGACCTCCCTGGAGCCCGTGGCTTTCCGGCTGCCTCGAGTCAGGGTGAGGTGGAGGCCCAAGGCCCCTTCCCAGCGTCTGTCGGGGGCTTTTGGTCTTCTCTGGCCCTTGTCCTGCAGGCACTCGTGGGAAAGCACAGACTCCGGGCTGGGGGCAGAATTGCCAGCTCTGCCCTGCCCCCTCCCGCCGGATGTGCCCTGGGCCTCTGGTCAGTGTCTCAGGCAGCCCTCCCTCCCTCTGCAGAAAGAGTTCTTCCAGGATGACGTGTTCCCAGCCACGGCTGTGACCTGGGAGCCCGTGCTCAGTGCCCAGGCCTGGCTGGGAGGCGCTGATGGGCAGCCCCGGATGCTCAGCCTGCAGCCCCCCGGCATGACCCCAGGTGGAATGAGGGACTGGGTCGGGGGAGGAAGCGGGGGGCTTGGGGGTAGGAGAAAGGGGCCGAAGGCCCAAGTCCAGTTGTCCATGCCTGCTGGCACAGAGGCCTCTGGCATTCCCAAGGATGGGGTGGCCGTGTCTCCATCGCACCCACACATTGTGGCGCACACACAGGCACACCCTGGTGCCCAGAGGGTCCGGTCACTGTTAGAGCCACCTCTTGGGTCTCTGCCACAGAATCGCCTGGGGCGGGCACCAAGCAGTCCACCCAGGGGACTGACTGAGGCCTGTCCCTGTTCTGCCCAAGTGAGCCAAGCCCCCCGCGAGGCCCCTGCCCGGCGGGGCCCATCCTCTGCACAGTACCTGGAGGAGAAGTCGGACCAGCAGAAGAAGGAAGAGGTAGGCAGCGGAGAGAGCTGGGTCCCTGCTGCGCCTGACTGTCCACTTCTCCAGCCCTGACCCAGGCTGGGAATGGAGCCAGGCGTCACACCGCCTCCATGCCAGAGCTCAGTAGGGAGACCCAGAACCCCACTGCTGGTCTGCTGACCTGCTGTTGCCTCTCCCCCTCCCCGTCCCCCCTGCCTGCCCCCGCACCCAGGACCACAGGAAGCTGGCAGGGCTGGGGCGCAGTGGGAGGCCTCCCCTGGCCAGGCCGCCCAACCCAAGCAAAGCCAAAGGTTGGGGACCCAGGTGCGTGTGGGGTCCTGGTGTGCATCCGAGCGTCCGAGGCACTGACTGGAGATGCCGGCCCCTGTGTCTGGAGCCACGTGCTACAGCCTCCAGCTCTGGCCCTGCCTCTGTGTCTCCACACCTTTTTCAGTGAAAACCCATGACTTTGTGCTTTTTCTCTGTTTTTATTCTTATTTCTTTTAAGATTTATTTTATTTTTTGAAAGGGAGAGTTACAGAGAGAGAGAGGGAGAAATGGAGAGAGAGATCTATCCACTGGTTCACTCTCCAAATGGCACAACAGCTGGGCTGGGCCAGGCTGAAGCCAGGAGCCAGGGGCCAGGAGCTTCTTCTGGGCCTTCCATGTGGGTGCAGGGGCCCAAGGACTTGGACCATCTTCTGCTGCTTTCCCAGGCCATAGCAGAGAGCTGGATTGGAGTAGAACGTCTGGGACTTGAACCAGCACCCGTGTAGGATGCCCGCATTGCAGGCAGCCGTTAACCCATTACACCACGATGCTGGCCCCCCTACAAGCTTTGCTGGGACCCTCATTGAAATGGCTCCTCACAGCATGGCCGGGGCTGTAGCCATGGGGCCTGATGCTCTGGCCCCCCCCCCCCATCCCTCGGTCTGACCCTCCTCCTTCCCCCCAGCTGCTGAGCGCCATGGTGGCCAAGCTGGGGAACCGGGAGGACCCGCTGCCACAGGACTCCTTCGAAGGCGTGGACGAGGACGAGTGGGTGAGTGGCCGGTGCGCCCGGCTCCCCCCACCCCCACGCAGAGTGCGCCGCCTCCCTGCCACGGCACCCTTACCTCCCTCCCACTGCCTGGTCTGTGCCCCCAGGACTAGCCGACCCACCATCAGCTCCGGCCTCACCTGCTGCTGCCGTGCCCCAGAACCACACCCCACATCTCACTCTCAAACTGGAAGACGCCTCCCTGGCCTGGCATGCCGCAGCCCAGAAGCCCCTGGCCCCTGGGCCTCCTGCACCCCTGTGGACTGTCTTGTACCTCTGCTTTCTCTGGGCCTGGCTGCCTCACTTCAGCTGCCTGCTAGCATGTGGAGCCAAGGGTGCAGGGTGGGGGGTCCACAGCACGGTCCTGGGCAGGCCCTGGGCTCCTCATCTCCCCCGCCCTCCTACTGATCTGGGCTGATCCCAGCCTGGGCAGGCCTCGGCCGGCACCTCGGGCTACCACCTGCCATCCCATCTTGCCCGCTGCCCCAGTTCATCAAGGACCTTGGGGGCTGGCCCCCCACCATGCCTTTTGGAGCAGCACCAGCCTCAGGGGCCGGGGACCAGTTGTCCTTTTCCCCAGGCTCATCAGGAGAGAAACATCTCAGAGGCACTGCTCCAGCCAGAGGGTAGGAGCCCCACAGGGACTGGCCCACGGGTGCCCTGGATGTTCTCAGCAATTAAACCTTCTGTCGCTGCCCGTGCTGTGCTGTGCTGGTCTCTGGGCTGGCTGAGAGGGGAGGGGCACAGTCGTAGGAATGAGCCACGTGGTCCCGGCTGGGCTCGGCCCCATGCTGCCGGGAGTTTGCGTACTTGACACACAGGTTTCCGGCAGCGCCGTGGATGCTAGGACGTGTAGCGGACAAGAGAGACAAGTGTTTCAGAGAGCTTCCGCTCACAGCCGTCTGTTCAGGGACCCAGGCTGTGTGCGAGAGCAGCTGTCCAGATGCCGCGAAAGGAAGTGGCTCCGTGCGGGGGCATCGTGTTCAGGGACGGAGGAGGTGACCCTGAAGCTGAAATCTGTGCCCCAAAGGCCAGTGGAGAGCCGGCCGCAGAGCCTGCCTGGGGGGGGGGTGCATCAAAGGCACCAGGCTGGGGGTGGGGGTGGGGATGGGGCTGGCAGTGGTCCAGGGCACAGTCCATCAACAAACGTGGGAGTGTCTGCCTCGCCACAGACAACCTTCCAAGCCTCTGACATCCAGGAGTGGAGGAAGAGGTAAGAGTCCTGCCCACTGGGAGTTCCCGACCTGTGGCATGGAAGATTCCAGACAACACACGTGGACAAGAGCCTTGGGAAAAATAGCCGGGGTCCACAGTGGAGGGGTGAGAGGACCGCCTCCATTTCTGGGAGGTGCTCAGAACGGGCAGGTGTGGAATGGTGGACAGGGGCAGGGCCAGGGGCAGGGGCCATGGGAATGGGGAGTGTCTGGCACCGAGAGATCAGAGTGTTCTGGAACTAGACGGTGCCGGTGGCTGCAGAGCTCTGAAAATACTAAAAAGCACTCGACTGGGCCGGCGCCGCGGCTCACTAGGCTAATCCTCTGCCTAGCAGTGCCGGCACACCAGGTTCTAGTCCCGGTTGGGGCGCCGGATTCTGTCCCGGTTGCCCCTCTTCCAGGCCAGCCCTCTGCTGTGGCCAGGGAGTGCAGTGGAGGATGGCCCAAGTGCTTGGGCCCTGCACCCCATGGGAGACCAGGAGAAGCACCTGGCTCCTGGCTCCTGCCATCGGATCAGCGCGGTGCGCCGGCCGCAGCGCGCCGGCCGCGGCGGCCATTGGAGGGTGAACCAACGGCAAAGGAAGACCTTTCTCTCTGTCTCTCTCTCTCACTGTCCACTCTGCCTGTCAAAAAAAATAAATAAATAAAAAATAAAAAAAAAAAGCACTCGACTGTGCACTTTGAAGTGGTGAGTGTGGGGCGGGCACTGTGGGACACTCGCATCCCATGTCAGGGCGCTGGGAATGCCTGGGCTGAGTCCTGGCTGCTCCACTTCTGATCAGCAGTCCTGCTGATGCATCATGGGAGGAAGCAAGTGATGGCCCAAATGCTTGGGACCCTGCCATCCACGTGGGAGACATGGAAGAAGCTCCCGGCTCCTGGCTTTGGCTCGATCCAGCCCTGGTCATTGTGGCCATCTGGGGAGTGAACCAGTGGATGGAAGATCGATCTCTCTGTCTCTCTTTCTCTCCTTGTAACTCTGCCTTTTAAATAGTAAAGTTTTTTTTTTTTTTTTAAGTTTCCCGTTTTATTGAATGCACCAAGGGTTTGGCATCTTCCTCCATATACTGGTTTATTTCATATAATGTTTTAGTTCCAACTATCCCTGCAAAACCAAGGGAATAAACTGCCCCACGTATGAGCGAGGTGCACTTGCTGTCGCTGGTGTAGCGCGTGGACAGTCGGAGAGCAGCGAAGGTTCGTCCCGGGTTCCCGGTACGCCGAGGAGCGCGGGGTGGGGGTGGGGGTGGGGCCTCCGGCCGCACCCCGCCCCTCAGCTACGTCACCGCCGGCGCCCCGCCCCGGCCGAGCAGCGCGCATGCTCAGAGCGGCCTCGCGCACGCGTTCTCTAGCCGCCTTTGACCTTTGGCCCCGGGGCAGGAAGCCAGCAGCGGCGCCCCTGCCTCAGAGCGGCCGCCATGGTGAGGCGCTACGCGCGGAGGGGCGCCCGAGCGCGGGCCTGGGAGGGAGACACAGGCTGCGGGCTCCAGGCTGTGCGACCGCCGTGGATGTCGTGTGCCCGGCCGGAAGCAGGGTCGGGGAGTCCAGGGGAAGTGGCGGGAAGACCCGTGGGCACGGGGCCCTGGGGTCCTGCGACGTCGGTGTTGTCCCCGTCGGGAAGGTGGCTTTTCCAAGGACGTGGGAGACCTGAAGTGGGCCCCGAGACACCGAGAAGTGTGGGCGCCGTGGGCGCCGAGAGCCGGGGCACGGGCCGGTGGGCGCTGGAGCGCCGGTTCTGTCCGTTCCCCACGCGGCCGCCGCGCAGGTGGGGCGGGAGGACGCGGCGGCCCGTGGAGAAGTCTCAGCGGCTTCTTCGGAGTCCTGCTGCTGGCGTTGCCGTCTTACGGATTAGCAGCCTGAAGCTCAGGTCCCACGGAGTCGGGGGCCAGTCCTGGGCGCGCGTTCGCCGCCGCAGCCTGAGCCCCAGCTGAGCTGGGAGCCCCGCTCTCTGCCAAGCAGAATGGCGCGGGGGGAGAAAGCAGCGAGTGCACGGGACAAGGCGACGTGACAACGCATAGAGAGGCGTGGGGAGGGATGAGTAGGGGCCTGGGAAGGCTCGGGGCGAGGGCTGAGTCCTGAGTTTCGACAGGTGGGAGGGGGGCGGATATTGAGGGTGAGTAAGGTGTGAGCGCCGACCTAGGGTTAGAGGGTCTAGGGGAGAGGGAACCGGAGTCCCCAGCTGGGGAGGGGGCTGACCCCCAGCGGCGGGGTCAGGGGGCATTCGGAAACCCTATCCAGGGGCATAGAGCTATGGCCAAAGCAGAGCTGTGGGTGGCCTGGTTAAGTGTCGATCCTCAGCCACATTGATTCAGATGTGTCTGGGGCACCTGCTGCACCAGCGCCGTCCTGGGAATACTGTGTGATAAGTGTTCGAGTGGTGGTCCCTGCCCCACCCCGAGGGCTGGGAGCGTGGCAGGCAGGGTCTGGAAGCTGGCTCCTTGGAGCTTCTGCCCCACATCGGTTCTGATGGAGGCCCTCTGATTCCCTGGGGCGCGGGGAAGCGGCGAGGGTGACGTCCACCGGAACTGGAGTCTCCGCTCGGCAATTCTGGGCAGGTGACCCACTTGGACGTGCTTGCCGCACAATAAGCCACGTTCCCGAGTGCAGCCCACCCCTGCTTTGTCCGTGGCCCTTTTCCCGACCTCATGGCTTCACTCCCAGAGGAGGAAGCATCCGTGGTGCCCTTTGTGGGGCCCAGAGTCGGAGCCCCACGGCCCTGACCGGTGCTCACTAGCTAGCTAGACCTGAAGGTGGATGCCACGTGGGCTGGTTTCTCTTGCTGGGACCTTCAGGCCTAAGTGTCAGTGGACTGTGGGGTGCTTTGGGGCCTTGTGCGAGGGATTTCAGCTGCTGGCTTTGATTATCCGTGGTCGCTGCACTGGCGAAGCTCGGCTCCCAGGAACCTGCTCTGAGCATGGTGAGGCCCAGAGATGGTGCTGGGAGGGTTTGATGGGCGCCTTCTAGCCCGAAGCACGGCAGCCGTCGCTGTCTTCCTGTCCACTTCTGAGGGCCCAAGTCTTCTGTGAGGAGGGTGTTCTCTCCAGAGAAAACTGAGGTTCCGAGGCTGAGTCACCTGCCCAGAATTGCCGAGCCGAGACTCTGGTTCCGGTGGACGTCTTGGCTTCCCCGCGCCCCAGGGAATCAGAGGGCCTCATCAGAACCCTCCGCACTGTCTGGCCGTTGCCTCGTTTGTGACGTGAAGAATAGCAGTAAGTGAACCCGGGGGGACGTTGTGGCACAGCAGTTTCAGTCGCTGCGTGGGCATCTGCAGCTCTCACTGGAGTGTGGGTTTGAGTCCCAGCTCCTCTGCTGCCAGTCCAGCTTCCTGCTGATGCTGGGAGAGCAGCAGCTGATGGCCCAGTTACTTGGCCCGTCCGTGCCACCCACGCAGGAGACCTGCATGGAGTTCCAGCCTTCTGACCCTGGCCTGGCCCAGCCCAACTGTTGTAGGATCTACAGAGTGAACAGTGGATGAAAGGTGTCCTTTTCCCCCTCTGCCCCGTGGCACGGTGACCTGCGGTTCCAGCTGTCCCAGGGTGGGGCGCCAGGCTCCCTACACTATCCCGGTGGTCAAGGGAGCTGCCCAGGTGGCCTCCTGGGCCTCCAAGGTCCCTGTGGGAGCTGTCTTGTCTCTCAAGGGGGGCAGCATGGCGGGCACCGTGGCAGGCTCTGGGACCACCTGTGCGCACGTGCCAGCTGTGTGAACCTGGGCAAGTCCTCAGCCCTGATTGCAGTTTCCTCTCCTGTAGGCCGAGGCCAGAAAGGGGCTGTAACAAGGACTGCCTGGGATGATGCCTGGACGGTGCTTGGCATGCAGCCTAGCTGTAGGTGCTCAGTATTTTTTTTTTTTTTTTTTATCTTATTTGGCAGAGTGATAGGAAAAGAGATGGAGAGATCTCCCACCCACTGGTTCATTTCCCAAAGGCCCACAGTAGTCAGGGCTGGGCCAAGATGAAGCTAGAAACCTAGACCCCTGTCCAGGTCCTATCTCTGTAGTCTCAGTTCTCTATGTATCTATCAAGATTTATTTACTTATTTGAAAAAGGGAGTTACTGAGAGAGAGGGAGAAACAGGGAGGTCTTCTGTCCGCTGGTTCACTCCCCAAATGGCCTCCATGGCCAGGGTCAGGAGCTTCTTCCAGGTCTCCCACATGGGTTCAGGGGCATAAGCACTTGGGCCATCTTCCGCCGCTTTTCCAAGCCATTAGCAGGGAACTGGACGAGAAGTGGAGCAGCTGGGACTTGAACTGGGTCCTTTAAGGCATTGCAGGTGGAGGCTTAAACCACTGCACCATAACACTGACCCAAGGTCTGTTTTTTGTTTTAAAGATTTATTTACTTATTTGGAAGAGTTAGAGAGACAGAAAGAGAGGCCTTCTATCCGCTGATTCTTTGCTCAGATGCCTACAACAGCCAATGCTGGGCCAGGCTGAAGCCAAGAGCTGCTTCCAGGTCTCCCACTGGGTTGTCAGGGGCCCACGCACCTGAGCCATCTTCGGCTGCTTTCCTAGGCCGTTAGCAGGGAGCCGGATCAGCAGTGGGGCAGCAGGGACTGGAACCAGCGCCCATATGGGATGCCGGCATTGCAGGCGGTAGCTTTACCTGCTGCACCACAAAGCCAGCCCCCAAGCTTCAGTTCCCAGCATGCATTGTGTGGAGCATCAGTCATTGGCCTTGTCAGAAAAGTAAAACAGTGATACAAGGCCATGTGATGGGCCGTGGTGGCAGAGAATGAGGCAGCCGTGGGAGGCGGCCTCTGAGGCCTGGATGCCATGACCTGCCGGCCATCAGCGCTCGACCTCAGAGCCGCCTGTCCCCTGTAGCAGTGGCTTTAGGCAAGAAGAGCAGGGTCAGATGAGATACACACACACCCGCACCCGTGAGCCAGAGCCGCGGCTGTTCCTCGCCCCTGCCACCCGGGCTTGGCTTTCTGCAGTGAAATGTCCACCTAACTTGTGAACTCCAAACCCACTTCTGTATGCATTCCCTTACAGGCCTGTGGTCACATCCCGCCTGTTAGGGACGCTAGGTCCTTGGACGCCAGAGGCCGGTTCTGGAGTCTAGAGTCCAGTGGAGTCTGTGGAGCCCCTCGCTGGGCTTGCTCGGCTCTGGATCCCGCGGGGCGGCAGTGCTCGCTTGTTCCCGAGGTGTCCCTCTGGTGCCAGCTCCTGGAACCCACAGCCTTAGGGTGTGTGTAACCGCGCCCCTCTGCTTGTGAGCTCCCTCAGTGCAGGGCTCAGAGGCTGTGTATCTGCAGTCAGTGCTGGGTGGAGCACCGTGAGCAGTGGCCAGCCCTGAGCAGATGGGGCTGCCCTACTCTGAAGTGTTTGGTCCTTAGAGTGTGTGTCTGAATGCCCTCCTATTGGGCTTTCAGCTCCTTGAAGGTGGAAACTGCTTTGCTCTAAGTAGTTCCTGCATGACTTTAAAAATTCACTTATTTGAAGGGCAAAGTTGAGGGCCGGCGTCATGGTGTAGCTGGGAAGCCACCACCTGCAGTGCCTGCATCCTGTATGGGCGCCCGTTCGAGTCCCGGCTGCTCCACTTCTGATCCAGCTCTCTGCTATGACCTGGGAAAACAGTAGAAGATGGTCCAAGTCCTTGGGCCCCTGTACCCACGTGGGAGACTGGGAAGAAGATCCTGGCTCCTGGCTTCGGATCAGCTCAGCTCCAGCTGTTGTGGCCATTTGGAGAGTGAGCCAATGGATGGAAAACATCTCTGTCTCTCTCTCTCTCTGCCTCTCTGTGACTCTGCCTTTAAGTATATAAATAAATATTTTTTAAAAAAGAAAGAAAAAAGGGCCGGCACCGCGGCTCACTAGGCTAATCCTCCACATGTGGCGCCGGCATCCCGGGTTCTAGTCCTGGTGAGGGTGCCGGATTCTGTCCCGGTTGCCCCTCTTCCAGGCCAGCTCTCTGCTGTGGCCCGAGAGTGCAGTGGAGGATGGCCCAAGTGCTTGTGCCCTGCACCTGCATGGGAGACCAGGAGAAGCACCTGGCTTCTGCCTTCGGATTAGCGCGGTGCGCCGGCCGCGGCGGCCATTGGGGGGGGTGAACCAATGGCAAAAGAAGCAAAGGCAATGAAAAGAATGCTTAAAAAAGGCAGTTAAAGAGATCTTCTGTCTGCTGGTTCCCTCCCCAAAGGGCTACAACAGCCAGGAGTTGGGCCAGCCTAAAGCCAGGAGCCAGGAACTCCATCTGGATTCCCACGGGGGTGGCAGGGTCCCAAGATCCTGAGCTGTCTGCCGCTCCTTTCCCAGCACGTTGGTGGGGAGCTGATCAGAAGAGAAGCAGCTGGGAACCGGTGCTCAGGAGGCACAGTGGTGCCACAGGTGGTGCTGGTGCGTGAACTGGCCCCACCGAGTGACTGTCACAGGAGTTCGATAGTCGTTGAGAACCTGGGTGGATCTGATCCCGACAGGCGTAACAGAGGTCAGTTTCAGAAGCATGGAGGAGCCGCCGTTAGCTCCGGTGCAGAGTGAGTTGGCGGCAGGCCCCGTGTCTGGCTCCCAGGCCGCAGCGTTTCTTCCTGAAACCAGCGGCCTCCACCCCCTGCAGCCATGTTGCCTTGGCTCCTTTCTCAAAGGCCAGGGAGGTATGGGGTGTCTGGCCTGCCTCTGGCGTCTCTGACAAGTATCTAAAGCCACCTCATGCAGCTTTCTCCAGGGTCCCCCTCTGCTGCCATGAGAAAGCCTGACCAGGTGCCTGTTCTGCCCGCAGGCCAAGTACCTGGCCCAGATCATTGTGATGGGCGCCCAGGTGGTGGGCAAGGCCTTTGCACGGGCCCTGCGGCAGGAATTTGCAGGTAAGCGCATTGGGGTGCTTCTGCCCATGTTGGGTTTCCCTGTGGAATGTGGGGACCCCTGCTCCCAGCTGGGGTTCTGCAGCTCGGTTAGTCTGGGACAACACAGGCCTCTGTGCCCTTCTGCGTGGGAGGGAGAACTTTGTCTTCACTGAACCTGCTTAGCATGAGCCTCTAGGAGCGGTCAGCAGATGGCCTGCCCAGCCCCCTACGCATTCGGGACGCTGCCGCATCCACACTCCACTTTCGAGACAGTTGAGTAAACCCAACACAGCCTAAGCAGCTGCACAGCCTAGGGTAGGTGCTGTTCGACCCCGGAGGAGAAAGCGTGCAGCGCCTGGCTGTAGGGTGTTTGAAGGAAGAGGTCATGCAGGGCAGCCTGCCCTGGAGGTCAGGGTACTGGGTGGGCAGCCAGATCCCAGCAGCACTGTCACCACCTCTCCCTGCCACAGCTTCTCTGGGTCGGGTCCCCATAGTAGCCTGAAGTGCCCTACTTGGCTGTGCCCCTGGAGTGGGGGAGGGGAGAGAAGAGGATAGGGTCATCCTGTGGTCTAGACGGGTCCAGGAACCTGTGAGCTGTGTCTGTCCTCACTTCCTGCCCCATTCCCCCAAAAAGCCCACTTCTGGAGAAGAGAGCTTCCTGGCCACCAGTGCTCTGTCTGTTGCCCCATGCCACCTGGCAGGGGTGAGCCACCCACTTGGAAGTCCCGGGGGCAGCCCTGGGCTGCCACAGGCTGAGCCATCGCCCACGTGTCCACACAGCCAGCCGGGCAGCAGCCGACGCCCGGGGCCGCGCCGGCCACCAGTCTGCAGCTGCTTCCAGCCTCTCGGGCCTGAGTCTCCAGGAGGCGCAGCAGATCCTCAACGTCTCCAAGCTGAGCCCTGAGGAGATCCAGAAGGTGGGTCACCAGGCCGGCTCCTGGGAGGTGAGGGTGGGCTTAGGGCAGAGCTTCTGGCAGAGCCACGGTTGCTTGGTGTTGCACCTGTGGCCTGGCAGCTGCACACGTCTGTGCTCCTGCTTTGCACGGCGTAGCAGGTGGCGTGGGGACAGACGTCAAGCCCTTTAGCTTGTCCTCAGAGCTGTCTCAGCTTCCCCACCCATGCAGGCCGTGACCCCTCTTCCCTCCGCTCCTCTGCAGAACTACGAGCACCTGTTTAAGGTGAATGACAAGTCCGTGGGCGGCTCCTTCTACCTGCAGTCCAAGGTGAGTGCTCTTTGCTTTGGGAGCAGGGAGGGCCTTAGACCTCCTCTCCACACTTGGAGTCCCTTGTTTCCATCAGGGGAGCTGGCAGTTAAAGGCTTGGTGGATGGGTGCACCCCAACCTCAAAGAGGACCCCTAGGCTGGTACCCTCTGCCTGCCTCAGCCCCACAGGGCCCATGGGGCCGTGTCCCCACACAGTGGCCCCGCAACAGTTAGGACTTGGAAGGAACAGGAACACCAGCTGGTGAGGGGTCAGTCCTGCTGCTGTGGCCGCAGACCTGCAAACACCCAGGCTCGGCCCCTCCTTGGACCATCGCTTCCACCCTGGGGTGCTGCTGGGGGAGGCGGTTGTATCCCACAGCTCCTCGGGGAATCAGGCAGGGGCCAAGGGAGAGGCTCGGCCACTAGCCCAATCACCTGTGACCTCCTGCCCCCAGGTGGTGCGTGCGAAGGAGCGCCTGGATGAGGAGCTCAGGATCCAGGCCCAGGAGGACAGAGAGAGAGGGCAGGCACCCAAAACGTGACGGCTCGACTCCCTGCACCGCCCCACCACCTCTAATTTATAGTTGGGTAATAAACGTCTGTCCTGTGGTTCTTGTGTGCTGCATCCAGAGTCCAGCAGGCAGCTCGCTTTTCCTTCTGTGCAAGCAGTGGCCTTTGACAGCCCAGAGGTGTCTGGGGACGTGAGCTTGGGGACTAGCAGCCAGCCTGGCCCGGGTCTGCCACATACTGGGTGGGCTAGCACCAGCTCCCCGCCATGGTGTCCTGCCAGACCCCTGCTCTCGGTCACCTTCCTGGGCTCTGCCCTCGCCCTCCCCTCAGGCCTCAGAGCTACCCCAGCCCCCCTCCTGTGCGCCAGTGTGTGCCTATCCCTGAGCCACGGCAGGCAGTGTGGCAGGACAAGGACCTGGCTCCGGGATGCTCGGTCCTGCAGTCACACCTGCACAGGGTGGTGGTGAGGGTGCAGTGTCAGGTGGCTGTCAGACACTGGGAGCGTCCTTGCAACTCACTTTTATTGTTTCTTTATAAACTCCTCTGACGTGGAGGAATATATTGTTATAGTCATTAGCTTATCTCTTTTTTTTTTTTAAACTCTATGCTAACAGCAATGGAGCCAAGAGGAGGAAAAACATAAGCTACAATAGAAAGGCACTTAGAACCTGTTAAAATACTGATATCCTGGAATGTGCAACAACAAACTGACGACGACAAAGAGTACACCGGCCCTCGTAAGCCTGGTCTATGCGGAGTCACGTGCCGAGCTAATGCCACTGTCCAGTGCCCCCTCCTCTGCTCTCAAACCCACGGCCCCCCAGCCGGGGACATAAGGCCTGGGGCCCTAATGGGTGGGGTGCTTTGGGTCCTGGGTGGGGGCCAAAGAAAGGAGACCAGCTCCCTCCTACCTTGCTCACGGCCCCTTCAAGGGGCAGAGCCAGCACAGCCGGGCCTGTCAGGGCTGGGGTCTGAGCCCAACAGCAGGGTGGGCCGGGTCAGGGTGACCCCTCTGGGACAGAAGGGCAGTCTGGGGGGGGGCCTGCTGCTATTGGCAGCTCCTTTGCTCTGCCAGTGGGAAGACAGCAGGGCTTAGCCATCCTGTGGCCTTAGTGAGAGGGCAGGCCCTGAGGCCAGGGTGCCCCACTGCCAGGTGGGGAGACAGGGCCGTTTTCAGGCCAGGCAGTGGGCTGTGGGGTACATGGATCTCCAGCGTCCTTAGCTTACTCTCATAGCAGCCCTGGGCTCTCTGAGAAATACAGATCTTGGGGGGAACCAGCTGGGCAAAGGGGGTCAGGGGAGAGACACCTCTAAGAAAGGGGGAAAGGAGAAGCCAGGGAACACCCTGTCACAAATCCGGGCTCTTTCAGCCCCAGGCCTGTCCAGCACCTTCAGTCCATGGCCTCCAGAGCTCCCCCGGATGCTGTGACTTGGTGGCCCCAGGTCTGAAGCCACCTCCTACCTCCTGGGGCTGGACGTGGGACCTCTCCAGCTCAGGGCTCCCTCCTTGCTTTCCACACCCCCAGGTGCCCAGGAAGTAGAGGGAGGAGGCTCCAGGGGCAGGGGCAAGTGGATGCTCAGCTCTCCTGTTGGAGAATGCTGTCCAGCCCAGAGAGGGGACGACCCCTCGGGCAGTGCTGTCATGGGGATGAGGCGAGGGATGAGGGCACCTAGCAGAGCGGGCAGAGCAGGCCTCCCTTCTCTGAGCAAGCTGGGAGGCGCCTTGTCAAGGGGCGGGCAGAACAGAGCTGCTTCCTGTGGCTTGGCAGGGCCTGCGTCTATTGCTGTCCCTCCAGAGGGAAGGGGTCCAAAGAGCCTCCAGGGCCAGGGCTGGATGAGCCTAGGCAGGAGGGGGTGGGGCACCAACAGGGAGGGCAGACACCCCCACTGCTGGGACGGGGGCAGCCAGCGGTCTCTGCACCCTGTAGCTGGCAGGTGAGCGAGGCGGGGAGAGGGGCGACCCGTCCAGGTTGGCCACTGGGTGAGAGGCACCAGGGTGGGAGGCTGAAGGGGAACGGGGTCTGGTGGGGGATGGGCGGGCCTCGCCAAGGCTGTAGGGCAGAGGTGAGCGAGGCCTCAGCACCCAAGAGCACAGCTCTCACTGGACGGCAGGTCCGAGTCCTCACCCGGGAGCCGGGGAGCCAGCAGTGACCTAGCACCATCCTTGCTGCCCGGGCTGGGGCTGCCCAGGAGTACAGCCAAGCAAGCCCGGCCAAGGACATTATTGCTACTTCACAGAGGGTTTCTGTTCGTCGAGGCGGGCACTGCTGGCCAGGGCGCTCAGTTCACCACTGCCGGCTTGAGCAGCACGGAGCCCGGCGGGATGACCACCCAGCCAGGGGTTAGCGCCTCGGGGCTGCTGGCTGCCGAGTTGACGCCCGTGGACAGGTCCAGCACGGTGCCCGGCAGCAGAGGGAGTCCGTCGGGGCTTGGCCGGGAGCGGCTGCTCTCCGTCCTTTCCAGGGGTGTCTTGCGGCCCTCCAGGGCCCTCGAGGGCGCTGACCCACGCCCTCTCTCCCCCTCAGCCTTGCCGCCAGCGGAGCCAGCGAGGAGGGAGACCACAGGCAGGCCCAGTCCGCCAGCCCCAAAGGGCGAGGGCAGCAGCGGGTTCTTGGCCAGGTTGAGGGGCAGGACAGGACCCGGCAGCCCAGGACCTATGCCCCCTCCAGTCCCACCCCCCCCACCATTACCACAGGCCAGGGCACTGAGGTCGAGGGGGCCGGGGGCCAGGGGCAGGGGCAGGCCGGGCAAGCTGGGGCCTCCAAAGAGGGCGGCAGGGTTGGGGATGATGATCTGGGCCCCACTGACGTAGGGGCCGCCGTCGGGGGCAGGCAGTGGAGGTTTTGGGGTAGGACGCAGCTGAAGGAGCTCTTGCTGCTCGTGGGACACGAAGTGGCCGTGGGCCTTGATGTGCTTGCGCAGCGAGCTGGGGTCCGTGTAGCGCTTATGGCAGCCGGGCATCTTGCAGTAGTAGGGCTTGTCCACGTAGTGGGTGCGCGTGTGCTTGAAGCGGTCACTGGAGTTGGAGTAACGCTTGTTGCAACCCTCGTAGGGGCACACGTAGGGCTTCTCACCTGCGGGTGGACAGGCAAGGCGGGTAGCGTGAGGGTCTTTCCCTCCCATGTCTCCCCATGTACCCACCTGCTGGACAGGTCGGAGCTCCCTCAGAGCCTGGACTGGCCAGTTTGGTCGAGGGCATGGGAGGGAGACAGGTAGTCCCAAGCGTGGGGCCCAGGGGCACAGCAGCTGAGCACAGAGCCGGGGCGATCCCAGCTCTGCCGTGTCCTCACTGTCCTCTCAGGCTCCTGTGAACGTCAGCACGCAGTGGGTGGCCTTGGAGACTACACGAAGGCACTGCCCAAGGTTCACGGAATTGGAATTGCAAAAAAATTTGAAACCCATGCATATGAGGATCCTTCAAAAACTTCATGAAAAAATGCATATTATGAAAAGATTTCAAAACTGTTTTGCACCACATTAAGCATCTTTTGATTCCATTTTGCATGAATTTTTTGAAATATCCTCATATAATTAACAAAGCCCTCGCAGGGGCCTGGCCCGTGGTGAGCGTTGCCCTTGTGCCAACCGCCCTCCCACTGAGGCGGGGAAGCACAGCTGGAGTTGTGCGGAAGGAGGCAGGCCCAGGACACACGGCTGATTCCAAACACCTGTGTGAAATGACTGTCAGCGTCTCACTGAATTTTTTTAAATATTGAAATGATGACTTTGAGTATAACAAGTTCAATGAAATATATTATTACAACTAACGTCGTCACATTTGTTTTGTTCTTTTTAATGCAGTGATTAGGCTAGGCCGGCGCCGTGGCTCACTAGGCTAATCCTCCGCCTTGCGGCGCCGGCACACCGGGTTCTAGTCCCGGTCGGGGCGCCGGATTCTGTCCCGGTTGCCCCTCTTCCAGTCCAGCCCTCTGCTGTGGCCAGGGAGTGCAGTGGAGGATGGCCCAGGTGCTTGGGCCCTGCACCCCATGGGAGACCAGGAAAAGCACCTGGCTCCTGGCTCCTGCCATCGGATCAGCGCGGTGCGCTGGCCGCAGCGCGCCAGCCGCGGCGGCCATTGGAGGGTGAACCAACGGCAAAGGAAGACCTTTCTCTCTGTCTCTCTCTCTCACTGTCCACTCTGCCTGTCAAAAAATAAAAATAAAAAAAAAAATAAAAATAATGCAGTGATTGGGCAATTTAACATTAGGTCAGTGGCTTCCCTGGCCAGGGCTGGCTCTACTTGGGCACGGGCAGAGGTGAGGAACCAAGCCCAGGGGCAAGGCCTCCCCCTGCAGGCGGCTTTCGGAAAAGGGCCGTGAACACTGACTTGTCCCTCCGGCAGGCCCTGGCCTTGCCTAGGCCGCCCTCCGCCACCCGGGCCCAAGCCCCGCGCGGCCGGCCTCTCACCGGTGTGGGACCGGTTGTGGATCTTGAGGTTCTCGAGGCGGGAGAAGCTCTTGTTGCAGGTGGGGCAGCGGTGCGGCTTCTCGTTGGTGTGCGTGCGGATGTGGATGAGCATCTTGTACCTGCTCAGGGCGGGGGGGGCACAGGCTCAGCAACCCGACACCCCTGCCCCCCACCCCCCCCCCCCGCTCCTCGCCGTCCCCCTCACCTGGCGTTGAAGCCTCGGCCGTGGCGGGCACAGCCCTCCCAGTGGCAGCAGTACCCGGCGTCCTTCTCGGGTTTGACATGGTGGTCGTTGACATGGTCCACCAGGTCTTGCAGGAACTCAAAGAGCTGGTTACACTGCGGGGCCGGGGAGGGTTCTCAGCCAGGGTGGGGTGCCTGCCCTGGCCCTCGCTCCACTCCTCCCGTCCCCACTCACCTTGGCCCAGCGACACACCAGCTGCTTAGGCAGGGGCAGCTCTGGCGAGAGGCACTTGTCCTTGGGGGAGCTGAGGAAGGAGGATGCAGGCAGGTGCAGGGCGCCCCCAGAGCCCAGGGGCAGGAAGAAGTGGAAGGAGCTGGGGACACCGTCCAAACAGCGCTGGAAGTCCTGGGGGTGAGACTGGGTCACTGTCCTGCTTGGCGAGAAGGGACCCCTCCCCGGGCCGCCCCTACTGCGCATGAGACCTCATCTGGGTCCTTGCACACAGAAG